TATAAAAAAAAAATTTAATTAAAGTATTTTCTATATTTTATTATACTTCACTTGAGCAGCATTGGTTCTTATATGTCTTTATCAGATTGTGCCTATGCTGAAACAACATAGACGTGCTTAGATGGTAGAGCCCCTTTTCTGGCTCTGGATTATATGAAACAAAACCATTCAAGGAGAGCTGAACCAGTTTTCCTTCAGTAATAACTATATGAATTTCAATTCACTACAGCTGTGAGTTTAATGAATAACCCTGCTTATGTTCTTTGTACTACTCACTACTTTTTGCCTCAATCTGTTTACCGGTCCCCAACTTGTTCCACCTAACAAACACATTTTGACCATCCCATTCATACCTTATTCAGTTTGTGCCATCCGATCTTGCTCCTCATTTGTGAAATCCCTGTTTTACCATAAAGAATTATGATTCACTGAAACCTTCTACTATTTTTTTTACCATTTTGCAATCTAGTGTGGCCACCCAGTATCAACTAACCAACGTGAGACAAAACATTCTTTAAAACATTCTTTAAATGGTCATAGTAAATGTGAGACAGGTGTAAAAGTTACAGATAAGAGCAGCTTTTAAAATGGGACAATATCGAATGCACAGAGCAGCTAAAGAAACTCATATTAAGACAATCTGATCACTTTATATTAAAGCAGCTATAAACTATTTAGCTATGGACAATCACTTCACACCCTCACTCAAACACAGCGCCCATCAATCACACACAGCACACACACTGCAGCCTTACCCACACAGCACCCTCACTCACACGCACTGCACCCCTTACACTCACAGCACCCTCTCTCTCACACACACACACACACACTGCACCCCTTACACTCAAAGCACCCTCACTCACACACACACTGCACCCGACACTTACTCACACACAGCACCCTCACGCATACATACACAAGTATGTTATTAAATTTGCTTGCGCTGTGCAGAATAAAGACAGGGTCTTTTTCTAATGTTAGAGCTCTTCAGCAGAGCTCTGCGCGTAGTCTGCCCTGGAAGAGCATTGAACCAATATGCTCACTTTGTGATGGGGCGTCATTGGTGATGACAAAACACACCCTAGCTGGCCCTGCCCCCTTTTTAGTGGACCGATGTAATTATAAAATGCCCAGGTCGAATTTTCTTCCCAGTCCGGCCCTGGTCTCCATAGTCCTTGTGACAGAACCATCAGTCTGCTTGGATTTTTACTGCATTCGTCTGTTTGTCCCCCGTTCGTATGAATGGCTGGTTTCTATAGCCCAGCCATTCGAATGACTCTTTTTCCCGAACAAACCTGCCGAACGAACGGCCACCCAAGTGAGGAGTGTGCTGCTGGTTAACGAAGTGATCCCAATTAGAACATTGTGGTTAACCGCAGACACTTCTCAATTAAACCGAATTCAGGGTGGTCGTCGTTCGTATGTCGACCACGAGGCAGCGGCCATTTTAAATCAAGCGAACGCCCAGCGGTGTTTGGCTCTATTTCTATGGAACTGAAAACGGACACTTTTTCTGCCGAACACCGCTGAAACAACGGAACGCCTGGCTGCCTCCACGAAAGCATGCGAACACCGGCCGTTCGGGAGATTTGAGCATACGAAAAGACTTAACCCAGATAGCCTTCCCATGGAGTCATTCGTATACCGAAAGACTGTAAGAACTTTGACTCCATGGCGATTGAACTATGTGTGTGGGATCTGAGCGCTATTCGCTAATAATATGCACTCAGATCCAGGCTATCTGGGGATATGTGATACGAATGGGAAATGTTCGGTTTTTGTGTAGTTATATATTTTTATGTCTTTTATTATTTTATGTCTAAGATGGCGACTGGCTTTGTCCTGGTGTTAATTGAGTTACTTGGTAATTAACTCCAGGGCAGAGGGGAGGGAATCATAATGCACTGTGGGTAAAATCTGTGACTGTGTGTCTAGAATGTCCCCATATCTGTCTGTAATTTAAGTCTCCCATTTGGTCCCCTAGGGGAGTGTCCACCAGGTGGGAGACCTGCATAAATACGGGCAGGTAGCCCACAGTAAAGCCAGATCCTGTTTGACCCTCAATACGGAGCTTCTGTCTCATTATTGGGTGGATTTCTTCTTCACGTTTAGAGACTGCTGGATGGAACGAAAGCCGCTTGGGGAATGTTGCTGTTCGACGGTTACCAGCAGTTCGTGTATTGCCGTTCGGGAGTTTGGAGCCGTTCACGGATCTCGATCGGGAGATTGCCGCTTCCCCTGCATTTGGTTCGTGTGTTACAGAGTAAGCGAACGGAGACTGTACTGCAGCCGGGGAAGATCTACTAAACGGCGGTTTGGCTTAAAGACACTAGAGATATCTTAACAATTGGTGGCAAGCGACGGGATGAATCCCACAGCATTGGAGGTCAGCTACAAGACATGCAGTACGAGGAACTAAGGCGTGCTACACTTAAGGATATATTGGAACGCTGAGGAAGGTCAGCAAGCAATTTAAAGAAACGGGAGATTATTGCTTTGCTACTGGAGATGGATGCAGCAACGGGAATGGAGAGAGTCAACGTGCCCAGCACCTTGGATTTAACACCCGAGGAATTACAATTTAACTGGGCAGTGCAAATAAGGCTGGCACACTTTGGCCCCAACCCCTCAGCTGACATCGTGGAGCGTGTGCAGGCAGCAGTAGCAGCACAACAGGCGCTCCGGGAAAGAGGAGCTGCAGCAGCAGAGGTACCGTACAATAATAATGTGTTTGCTAGAAAGAAGGTACCTTTTGCTGCATTTAAAAATTTTGTGGAAACCGAGGGAGAGATTGATGGGTTCTTAGCGGACTTCGAGAGGCAGTGTGCTCTACATCAGGTACCTGCAGATGAATGGGTCACCATCCTCTCTGGGAAATTATCTGGCCGGGCTAGTGAGGCGTTTCGGGCCATCCCAGAGGAGGAGATCACCAGCTACCGGGCTGTGAAAGATGCGCTCCTAGCCAGGTATGCGGTGACCCCAGAGGCGTACAGGCGGAGGTTTAGAGAAACCAACAAGCTGGTTGGGGACTCTTATGTGGAGTGGGCCTGCAGAGTCCATCGTACCGCAGCCCACTGGATGGCAGGATGCCAAGCGGTAACTGGGGAGGAGGTGTTACAAGTGTTCCTGCTGGAACACTGCTTTGATAGACTACCTGCTGGGGTCCGGGAGTGGGTCAGAGATAGAAAACCCTCTACCCTACCCGAGGCTGCTCGTCTGGCAGACGAATACACGGATGCCCGCAAGTTGGATGGTACAGCTGCCAAAGCCCCTGCCAGACTGGAGTATCGACCAACAGTAATACCCGCTCCTTCAGTCTACCAGCCCCCAGTACACCGTAACCCAGCCGCACCGCCAGCTAACAATTTTGTACAGCCCGCACGATTTAATGCCCGTGAATATTCCCAACCCATCCGGTGCTTTGGGTGCAAGCAGTTGGGGCACAAGCGTCCTGAGTGTCCACTGAACAGTGCCAACCAAGCTCAGTCCTGAGGAGACCAGTCAATGGGAACCACCGCCCACCTCAGCCTGCTGCTCACTGCATAGAGCAGGAGGAATTCTGGGGCATCCTACACGAGGCAGACCCAGTGCAAGCAGCTCACCAGGATAACCGCCAGCAACATCGGCAAACCGTGAAGCTGAATGGCAGAGTGGTAAATGGGTTGAGAGACACAGGAGCCACGATGACACTACTCCAAAAGAACTTGGTCTCAGAGCATCAGCACACTGGGGACACTGTGGCAGTAAGGGTAGCAGGGGGTGCTGTGTTTCGCTTACCTGTTGCCTGGGTACATTTGGATTGGGGAGTGGGCGCTAGACATGTGGATGTGGGGGTGATGAAAGACTTGCCCGCAGATGTTCTTCTGGGAAACGATTTGGCCCCTTTGGTTTCAGCCTATGCTCCGATGGGTCCTGCAGATGTGAACACAGTGACCACCCATGCCCAGGCCCGTGCTGCCGGAACCAGCCCACCTGCTGATGAGACCCAGGTAAGATCTCCTTCCCCGACTGGTACCCCAGATCAGGTCCCCTTAAGCTGGGATTCCCCAGAGGAGTTTGGGAGGGAAACCCGGGCAGATCCGACCCTCCAAAAGTACAAAGACAGGGCAAATGCTGGAGAGGAAGGAATAGATGGGGAACGGTATGAGTGGGTGGGGGACAGGTTATATAGGATCCCTAAACCTTCCCAGAAGAGTGTTGCCTCTCCGCCGAATCGCCTGTTAGTGGTACCTGCAAAGTACCGGCAGGAGATTCTGCAGATAGGGCATGATGTTCCGTTAGCTGGACATCTAGGGTCCCGCCGCACAGCCTATAGGATCTCACAGAATTTATTTTGGCCAAACTTTAACCAGGCTGTGCGGATGTACTGCAGTACGTGTGACACATGTCAACGGGTAGGAAAGCGGGGGGACCACCCTAAGGCTAGGCTATTATCGATTATCGAATATCTTTGAATTTAGGAACAAATATACAATTGATGTTAATAATGTATTTAATACAGAGACAATTAATTCTATACAAATAACTCCCCATTATTCTAACCAACAAGATTTATTTATGAAATTAGAAAGAGCCTTATCCACAGAAATCAAACTTAAATGGGAAATTGCAACTTTTAAAAAATACATAGATGAACAAATTACCCCTCGTGGATTAAGACTCTTAAAGTTGCCCACCTCTGATCAAGATGATCCCGAGTTCATGGAAGAATGGAACAACAAACTAGAATTGTGTACATTTGGCCTAATGGAAACATTAATAATAAAAAAAAGTAAAAAATTGTCAATTCTAGACATCGAAATAAATGATCTTAGAGACAAACTTTTACCATTTACTGAAACTAAGGCCTATAAACAAAATTGTGTACTAATCCAAAACAAAATTGAAAAAGTTGAAGTCGACCAAAAACATTTAAAAATCAAAAAATACATTAGAGATAAGACAGACTATTCGAGTAAACAAATAAGAACTTACCATCTAAAAAAGTACACTTCGGACAACTATTCCTCTAGACCTAATTATCATAATCACACGTATGATAACTCTCACAACAATGTACCTTACCAACCACCTCCAAAATATCGCAATTATGCTACACGTAGATCCCATCACCAATCCCCATCCACTAAAAGACCCCAATATACGTCCTCTCATCATAACTACGCTCCTTCAAAATCACCATACCAATATAAGAGGAATACATACCAACTACCCTCGTACAATCAAAGGAAATTTCCTCACGATAATCACAATCCTATACCTCAATCACCTAGATATCACAACCCCTCTGGTTTTAATTTCGCACCAAAACCACAAAGATCCAGATATACAAATGATCATAATGAGTATTCTAACTACTCAAAATCACCCACAATCCCAAATCACACTAATAGATATCAATTATTATCAGTCGATTCTGACTTTGATAATGAGGATCCTTTTTTAGAGATACGTACTCACCAACCTGCACTAGCTCAGACACCTTACCCATCACGTTCTCAAAAAAGAACTTTAAATCTAGAGGAAGACGAAGTGGAAGAAGGGAACAAAAGAGAAAGATTGGAAAGGCAATAACACCCTCTACTGATTCCTGTAATGGCATTTTTAACCTCTCCCAAAAAGTTTTATCAGCCGCACAATTATCCGTTTTAAGTAAGGGTCTTAAATTCGCTCCAACTTCCTCTTTTAATTCATTTCAAGCTTTTCTCGATGTAAACAAATTTGTTAGAAAGGCTACATTGAAAAGATTTTTTATAAGTAAAAATGATGAGGAACCCCCCCTTTTTACTCTATCCCCCCCCTCAGAGACAGCAAATAGTCCGTTTTTAAATACACAACTGAGAGAAAAATCGAAATTTTACCCATCCCATTTTAAATCAGCTCCTTTGATTTTATTTGAGAAACTTGTTCTTAAAGATCTAGAAAAAATTAAATATAAAAAATATGACTCCAACAATCTTACAAATATTGAAAGACAGGCAATCAAAGAACTGCAAAAAGATTGTGACATTGTCATTAAACCAGCTGATAAAGGTGGAGGATTAGTCATTCAATCAAGTAAAATGTATGTAGATGAAGCCCATAGACAATTAAAAGATGGCAATGTATACGAACAACTTTTAAGTGATCAGATTAAAAATATCCAAACCATTTTATCTAATTTTTTAAATAAAGGTCTAGAACAAAAATTTTTAAATAAACATGAATACAATTTTTTAAACAAAAAATATCCAATTACCCCGGTTATCTATTTTCTTCCCAAAATTCATAAAAATGAACAACACCCCCCAGGAAGACCTATTGTTTCGGGAATTGGTTCCCTTTTAAGTAATCTTTCTCAATACATAGATATACTTCTTCAACCTTCGGTCAAACTCATGAAATCCTATTTAAAAGACTCCATGTCACTTTTAAAATTTTTAAATGATTTTACCTGGAAAAACAATTTTATACTAGTCACATGTGATGTCCAGTCCCTTTATACCATCATCCCACACGATATTGGTTGTCAAGCTATAAAAGAAATTTTAATTCAAGAAGCTAGGATTCCTAACACCCAAATAGATTTTATAATAGAAGGTATCAATATTATTTTAAAAAACAACTATTTCTGGTTTTTAGACTCTTTTTATTTACAAAGAAGAGGTACAGCTATGGGGACTAGGTTTGCCCCTAGTTACGCCAATTTGTTTATGGCAGACTGGGAAAATGAAGCCATATGGGGCAATCATACCTGGCGGGCAAACCTAGTCTCCTACTTCAGATATATAGATGACCTTTTTTTTATCTGGGATGGACCTGAAAAACATCTCATTGATTTTATTAATTATTTAAATACTAACAATAGGGGCATCATTCTCACACGAATTTAGTAAACAATCCATCAATTTTTTAGACCTAAATATTTTTATTAATAATGGAAAACTTCAAACAAAGACTTTTTAAAAAAAAGTATGCGTTAACACAGCCATTGACAGGTCTAGCTGTCACTATAAGCCATGGCTAGAAAGTGCCCCAAAGAGTCAGTTTTTACGCCTTCGCAGAAATTGCTCAGAACTCACAGATTTTAATGAACAAGCAGAGTTCCTAAAAAATAAATTTATTGAAAAAAATTATTCAGAACCAGATCTGAATGTTACTATTAATACAGTCAAACAAAAAGAAAGAAAAGATCTTTTAATATACAAAAATAAAGAAAACAACGACACTATACTACTTCCAGTTATTTTTAATTTTAATAATAAAAGTAACGATGTCAAAAAAATAATAAGAAAACATTGGCACATACTTAAACATGATGAGATACTTAATTCCATCATACCCACTCATCCAAACATTGTTTTTAGAGGAGCACCTAATTTTAAATCGATTTTAACTAAAAATTTTACAAGAAAATCTCCTTTAAAAAGTGTATCATTTTTTCCTAACACAAAAGGTTTTTTTAGATGCAAACAATGCATTGTATGTAAAACTGTGGATCATGTTATGTCATCAAAAATTACAAAATTTATGTCAAATCAAACAAAGAAAGTGTATAATATTTATGATTTTATAAGCTGTCATACGAAAAATGTGATCTATTTGCTCGAATGCCCATGTGGCCTCCAATATGTGGGGATGACCACAAGGTGCTTAAAGATAAGACTGAGCGAACATTGTAGAAATATTAAAAATGGATACTTAAATCATACAGTATCCAAACATTTTATTATGCACAATAAGGACCCTCGTTTACTAAAATGCATTGGGATAAAAAAATGCTCTACTTCTTGGCGAGGAGGCGATATAAAAAAGCTACTCGGAAAAACAGAGATGGAATGGGTGTATAAACTCCAGACTCTTATACCCCATGGCCTCAATGCTGATTTTGATTTATATAATTTTCTATGAATTTTTATGTCTGTTTTTTTAAATTATGGCTTTTACAACATCCTTTTATTATTATTTTTTATCAAGTCTGCCTTTTTATTTATATATTTTTATATTTAGTCTGCCTCTTTAATTTGGATACTTCTCTCTTCTTAAATAGAATAGTGGACTTGTTTAAACTTAAGTCTTTTACTTCTAATTTTGATCTACAAACCTTTGATTATAAGTATTATATGTGCCATGTTTAGATTTCATGCTTTTGTGTAATTCACTACATTTCCCATAAGGTATTTCGGCTATTATTGCCGAAAATCACGTGACCGTTTCCATTACTTTGTGCCCGTCCTAGCCCCTTTGTTTATTCATTCCCTTACCACTCTGCCATATTATTATAATATTATTTTATTTGAGAAGCAAATAAGTCCGTTTTTAGGACTTTTAAAACGGCAGCCGCGTATGAACTACATTCCCCATAAGGCATAGCGGCGGTACTTCCGATACGCGGAAGTGCCGCCGGTCACGTGACTTTTTACAATACCCTTAAACTACCCTTTTTAACCCTCGTTTTACATTTATACATATTGAAATGAATTTGTATTACTATAAATTATATGCTGAATAAGTTATTATGCATTTTAAAGTCGTACAAATGTTTTTAATTCTGATTGGTCAAACTAAGTTTTGGCGCCAAAATTCAAATAATTATGTTCCTATATAACATCTATGTGCCAGGTAAATCATGTTATTCCATTTGATAAAGTCCCCTTGTGACGAAACGCGTTATGGATATTTAAATTGTGTTTTATATATATTAAAGTATTTTTTGGTCATTTGCTTGTGCCAATTATCTTTCCTATAGACACATATTATTTCCCTTTTTTTTACCCTGGCCTTTTATTGTTATTTTAAATATTTTGATGGTTTTAAAAGAAACCTAAAATATTCCTGGAAGTCTCCTGTACCCAAAGAAATCCGTAGGTGGGGATCAATCCACCCAAGCTATCATCAAAGAGCAGTGGGTCTGCTCTCTCTTTGTAAGTACATTTCTTTTATTATTTAATTATTATCTGCCATACAGTGAGCACTATTGGCTGTTTATCTTATTCCGAGAATTGGATACCATCCACAGAGGAGAACCTGCCCATATCCCATAAGCGGGGATAAAACCGCTGTACGCGCTTGACCCCAGAGCTGGACATTAGCTCTGGTAAATGTGAGTTTGATACTATTTATTTTACATCTTTACCTATATTTTTCATACTATACCATTGGATGTCCGTTTTTTCCTCTTTTTATTTTTCATAACGAGTGAAACCACCATAAAAATAGAAGACCTCGCCAACCAAGGACACCTGTAAGAACATACCAGTTGGACTTTTTCTCTCCCTTTCCTTTTATTGGACTCTATTATATGTGCGCAGCCTTTTATTGTTTTTTATCTTTATCTTGTTTTATAGGGTTTGAGGGATTCCCTTTTAAGGTTGCTGCCACAGTTAACTAGCGCTGTCTCTTTTCTTTTATTTATTACTATTATCGATGCCTATTATAGGGGAGCCCTTTGCCCGCATAGCCGTTGACATCGTGGGTCCACTGGCCAGGGCTAGTCCATCCGGTAAGAAATACGTTCTTACCGTGGTGGACTATGCCACTCGCTATCCAGAGGCAGTAGCGCTGTGTAACATAGAGGCAGAGACGGTTGCTGATGCCCTGGTTAGAATTTTTACTAGGGTCGGGTTTCCTAAGGAGATTCTCTCCGACCAGGGAACCCAATTCACCGCTGTGCTCACCCAGCAGCTGTGGAAGGTGTGTGGCATTAAGCCGTTACTTAGCTCACCCTACCACCCACAGACTAACGGTCTCTGCGAGCGCTTTAACGGTACCCTCAAACAGATGCTGAGGACCTTTACAGACACTTGCAGAGACTGGGAGAGATTCCTGCCTCATCTATTATTTTCTTATAGAGAGGTGCCCCAGGAATCTACTGGGTTCTCCCCCTTTGAGCTGCTGTATGGGAGAAGGGTCCGCGGACCCCTAGATCTCATTAGAGGCCACTGGGAGGGGGAGACGGAGCAAGAGGGGACCCCCATCGTGCCATATGTCCTGGAACTCCGGGACCGCATGGAGAAACTGTCCCTGATGGTAAGGGAGAATCTCCAGGCGGCCCAGGGGAGACAGAAGAGATGGTACGATCAGGGTGCCCGACAGCGGGTCTTCCAGGTTGGGCAAAAGGTATTGGTGCTCAAACCTGTGAAGGCCAACAAGATGCAAGCATCTTGGCAGGGCCCGTACAAGGTAGTGGCGCAGATCTGCGACACTACTTACTTGATAGCCAGCTGTGCAGATGAAAGGATCCAGCGGTCCTTTCATGTGAACATGCTGAAAGAGTACCAGGAGAGACCTGAGAATATTGCAGCAGTATGTGCCCCAGCTGCAGATGATTCTGAGAATTTACCCCTTCCCGATCTATTAGAAAGGGATTCCCAGACTGACCTTACTACCTTGGTACAGCTAGGGGACCGGTTGAACCCCACAGAAAGGGTACAGGCGCAGCAGTTGTTATGGGAGAAGGAGGCGACGTTCTCCCAGGAACCAGGTTATACCACCCTAGCTGTGCATAAGGTAGAGACCCCTGGACAGACCTGAAGCAGTCCGTGAAGGAATGCGGAAGGAGATACAGGAGATGACTCAGCTTGAGGTCATCGAGCACTCCGACAGCCCTTGGGCCTCGCCTGTTGTCCTGGTGCCCAAGAAAGATGGGACCACCCGGTTTTGTGTGGACTGCAGGCGACTCAACGAGCGGACCACCACTGACGCCTACCCAATGCCCCGGGTAGACGAATTACTGGATCGTATTGCCAGGGGGCGATATCTGACCACTATAGACCTGTGTAAGGGTTACTGGCAGATCCCCCTGGCCGAGGATGCTATCCCCAAGTCGGCATTTGTCACCCCATTTGGCCTGTACCAATTTAAGGTCATGCCTTTTGGGATGAAAAATGCACCGGCTACCTTCCAACGGATGGTGGATAGACTCCTGGATGGCTTCCAAGAATTTGCCTGTGCATACTTGGACAACATTGCGATTTACAGTGGGTCCTGGGAGGAACACCTGGTACATGTAGGGGTAGTGCTGGATAAAATTCGGGCCGCTGGCCTGACATTGAAGCCAGAAAAGTGCCACCTAGGTATGGCTGAAGTACAATACCTGGGTCACAGAGTGGGGTGTGGGAGCCAGAGACCAGAGCCAGCCAAGGTAGAGGCAGTGGCTAACTGGCCCACACCTACTACTAAGACCCAGGTATTGGCCTTCTTGGGGACGGCAGGGTACTATAGACGTTTTGTCCCTGACTACAGCGCTATTGCTAAGCCCCTGACAGACCTGACCAAGAAAAACTTGCCTAAGCAGGTCCTGTGGTCTCCGGCTTGTGAAGCTGCGTTCCAGGCACTGAAGCAGGCTCTTGTGAATGCCCCTGTCTTGGCAGCCCCAGTCCCTAACAAACGCTTTCTCGTCCATACAGATGCTTCCATGTATGGACTGGGGGCTGTGCTGAGCCAAGTCGGGGAAGATGGAGGAGAGCACCCTGTCACATATCTCAGCAGAAAGTTGTTACCCAGAGAAGTGAGTTATGTGGCAGTGGAGAAGGAGTGTTTGGCCTTGGTCTGGGCATTGAAAAAGTTAAGCCCCTATTTGTATGGGCAAGAATTTTCCCTTGTGACTGATCACAACCCACTCGTTTGGCTTAACCGGGTCTCAGGAGACAATGGGAGACTGCTGAGATGGAGCTTGGCCCTACAGCCCTACAATTTTACCATCAGCTACAGACCCGGTAAGCTGAACGGGAATGCAGATGGGTTGTCACGACAAACAGACGCTTCCCTCACCTCGTAGTCCGGTCATCCCCAAGTTGACCCGCCACAGGGTCAAGCCGGGTCTGCCGGAGTGTCCCACAAGGAGGGAGCCGTGTGACAGAACCATCTGTCTGCTTGGATTTTTACTGCATTTGTCTGTTTGTCCCCCGTTCGTATGAATGGCTGGTTTCTATAGCCCAGCCATTCGAATGACTCTTTTTCCCGAACAAACCTGCCGAACGAACGGCCACCCAAGTGAGGAGTGTGCTGCTGGTTAACGAAGTGATCCCAATTAGAACGTTGTGGTTAACCGCAGACACTTCTCAATTAAACCGAATTCAGGGTGGTCGTCGTTCGTATGTCGACCACGAGGCAGCGGCCATTTTAAATCAAGCGAACGCCCAGCGGTGTTTGGCTCTATTTCTATGGAACTGAAAACGGACACTTTTTCTGCCGAACACCGCTGAAACAACGGAACGCCTGGCTGCCTCCACGAAAGCATGCGAACACCGGCCGTTCGGGAGATTGAGAGCATACGAAAAGACTTAACCCAGATAGCCTTCCCATGGAGTCATTCGTATACCGAAAGACTGTAAGAACTTTGACTCCATGGTGATTGAACTATGTGTGTGGGATCTGAGCGCTATTCGCTAATAATATGCACTCAGATCCAGGCTATCTGGGGATATGTGATACAAATGGGAAATGTTTGGTTTTTGTGTAGTTATATATTTTTATGTCTTTTATTATTTTATGTCTAAGATGGCGACTGGCTTTGTCCTGGAGTTAATTGAGTTACTTGGTAATTAACTCCAGGGCAGAGGGGAGGGAATCATAATGCACTGTGGGTAAAATCTGTGACTGTGTGTCTAGAATGTCCCCATATCTGTCTGTAATTTAAGTCTCCCATTTGGTCCCCTAGGGGAGTGTCCACCAGGTGGGAGACCTGCATAAATACGGGCAGGTAGCCCACAGTAAAGCCAGATCCTGTTTGACCCTCAATGCGGAGCTTCTGTCTCGTTATTGGGGGGATTTCTTCTTCACGTTTAGAGACTGCTGGATGGAACGAAAGCCGCTTGGGGAATATTGCTGTTCGACGGTTACCAGCAGTTCGTGTATTGCCGTTCGGGAGTTTGGAGCCGTTCACGGATCTCGATTGGGAGATTGCCGCTTCCCCTGCATTTGGTTCGTGTGTTACAGAGTAAGCGAACGGAGACTGTACTGCAGCCGGGGAAGATCTACTAAACGGCGGTTTGGCTTAAAGACACTAGAGGTGTCTTAACAGTCCTCTTGTCAGGAAAACCTTCATCACCGCACCACAAATAACACACAAAAGCCCCTTGAGGTAAAGTAATTTTTTGCTTGTGTTTTGTGCCCTGCCAATGGCTCAGGCCACGTTCTATCAATCTGTGTTGTTGCAGCTTAACTTCAAATACAACTTAGCAGCTAACTACACACTCCTCTTGATCCTTTGTAGGAAAACAATTATGATGGCATATTCCTTTCCATGTACTCATTTTCAATGCATACATCTTCTGTTTAGTGAAAAAAATGTAAAATTTGTGTTGTAATTATAAAAGGCATTTCTAGTTTCTCATGGTTCATGAAAAGCAATTAGATATGCTTAGATGAACCCAGAGACTGATGAATTCTAAGACTACAATTTCATTCTATACAAGTTGGAGACAAAAAAAGACCATTTTTACTGAAGTGTGAAACCATTTTACAACTTAACAGCTTTTTTACCAACTTTAAATAATAAATAATAAATAATTATCTGGTTTGCCTCAAAATATGATATGTTTACATATGTTGTGATACATTTTCTATAGTGCATTAGACAAGTGTCAACGTTTCAGCATATTATTGTAGTTAATACCCGAGACCCTGGCATACCCAGACAGGAGTGTTAACTATCTTCTGGACATTTCAAGTTTTCTTTCTGAAAGGGTTTGAATTGCTTACAGCAATGATATTTTGGGAACTTGGAGCATAACTCACATTTATGTCATGGTTTAGAACATATTTCTCTTGAATTTGAGAGTTGCCAAAAACTTTTTCTTTCAAGTCAGGGGGCAATTCAAGGTATTTGATGTTAAATTCAAAATTTACCTTAAGAGGCTCCTGCCTGTGATCAATAAGCTGAATTTTCTTAGAGAAGTAATAATTTACTCTGTTTACTGAATAGCAATTCCTAAATTGAAGTGTACTGGAAAATTGCTACTTAAGAAGCAGAGGAAACCAGGAACCTGCATGATACACGCATCTCAGAGAGTGAATACTTTTTTTATGAACATCCCTGCTCTTTAAATACTGTAGTCTTTTACTTTAAGTTACCTCTAGAGCCATAATAGCCAATTTCTTACATATAATTCCGAACAGCTCAACCCTCACAATGTACATAATGTGTTTCTCACACCTTTCTTGTATAGTGGCAATATTTAATTCTCTATTCTTATATACATCTTCTTCATCTTCTGCATAGACAATATAATATGTCAAGAAGAGTTCTGAGTATTTACCTAGCAGGTTTAAAGTATGTTGTCACACCACATTTAGAGTTGGCTCCTTCAAACTCTCCATCAATCTCTGTTTCTTGATTTTTTTTCAAACTTTTACTTTTTTTTTTTTTATAGACAGGGGAGGAATAATTCCAGAGAAGCTCATCTGTTTCTGATAACTA